ACGCATCGTCGGCTATTGCTCGCGCGCGCCGAGGATGCGGCGCGACTCCCCCCAGTCGAGATCGGACAGAGGTTGTGGAGGCAACAGAGGTCAGAACTTGAAGGATTGCCGCGGCGAACATCACTTCTGCTCAGAAGGAGGCGCCAAAACTTTCAACGATTGCTCAGGAGGCGGCGGCGATCGAGGTCGAGGCCGATGCGCTACTCATCCAAGAGCGCAAGTTGCTCACACCAGCTGCCGGGGACACGATGCTGAGGCTAAAGCATCAGAGTTGGCATTTCCAGATCGCGCCAGCCGGGCAAGGTAATGCCTTGCACGCAGCCTCGTCGGGAGCAGCAGCGAAAGTTCGGCAAGACACTGGGTCAGCTGACTTGTCTGATCTTGGGGAGTTGCACCGCCGCACCCGAGGTGGGCAGAGCAGCGGGTCGGTGGCATGCGTCCTGGATGCTTTATCTTAGCCCCTATGTATCTCATCTCAGGTAACCAGCGCATGGATGTGGACGACAACAGCACGCATATTATCTTACAATGCCTTGAGCAGCTCAAGCGTCTCGGACGGCCACATGCGAACCCTACCCCTACCCCCCGCGATTTCTGAGGGGGGGCGGGGTTCACTTCGTTCGGGGGCTCCCGAGCGAAGTGACCCCCCTCCCCCCTCAGAAATCGCGGGGGGTAGGGGCAGGGTTCGCGCGTGGCCCCCTAAAGGCGGCCTTCCAGTATTGGTGATGAGTGGAATGTGAGTCCACGTGAGTAAGAGGAGCTGAATGCGGTGAACGGCCTGCCTGAGACTATCGCAGCCCCCTTTTAGTAGACGTGCTCAGCATGACGAGGGCGCGCGATCGATTTCTGTCTTACCCCCGAAGCACTTCGAGAGCCTGGTCACAGGTGTTCGAAGGTTGGAGGGCTGAGTTTGGCGAAGCATTGGGGTGTCTTGCTGGAGATTGACGCATGATCTGGAGCAGATTGTCGCGCCAAAAAAGTTCCCCAGCGAGTGCCCCCTCGGAGCCACAAGGGAGCCACCTTCGAACGCTCGGGCGCTCAGAGAGTGCGAGCATGCGCGAGAAGCTCAAGAGCTAGACTGGTGCTTTCAAACATGGATGCAGTTGGCGGAGAAAGAGCTAGCTGATAGATACCATCTTCAGGACAACGAACGACGGGCCGCAGCTGGGCGAGGAGATCTACCTGACCCACAGTTTAAGGTGGTCGCGGCAAGTAAAGTACCAGGCCGAGGAGCTGAAGGGGGCCCTATATCGAGATGCTGGAGGAGGGCGTCCATCGCCATGCAGGATCTCATCCGCGCGCCCAAGAGAGAGCGGGAATTGGACTCGCAGTTTGCGACGCAACGCATGCGCACGCTCGCTATCCCCAATAAGAAGAACCTCAACGTGGGAAGCTTTTGGGCGGTCTTCTGCAACCGACTCGATCATGAATGGAATTGGGAAGACGATTGGTTTCGAGACGGCAGCTGGTTTGCGACGCAGGAGGCCACCACGGTTGAGCAGTAGTATGCAAAGCAGAGAGTGCGAGAGTGGCGGCACGCAGCAGCGAAGTCCACCGAGCAAGAAGACACGAAGGCGCATGGATGGAGCCAGCTACCGACGAGGTGGACACAAGCGGATGTCCACCCAACCGCGGGCATCAAGTCGCATGCGACGACGCTGGACACGGACCTCCAGTAATTGTTGAATGTATGGAATCATGATCCTGATGCGAGTTCTTGCGGCGCCGGGCTTCGGTTGCAGGACGCGGGGAAAGATGGGCAGATTGAACCCCCCGGAGCCGAGCAGATCAGAAAGGCAACATCAACTTTCAAGGAAAAGACAACATCTGGCGTTGACAACCTGGGACCCAGAAACATGGCGCCACTCCCCGATGATCGCCTCGACGCGTTCCGCGGGGCGATGGAGGTGGCAGAGCGGATCCTCGCCGTATCCAGCCAGATGACAGACGCGGTGTTCTTATGGCCCCCCAAACCAGAAAGGCGGCACAGATTGATCGGCCCGATGACGGACGCGCTCAGAGCCCACAAGAGGCGTCGACGGCATGCTCAGAGTGAGGTTGGCTTCAAGAGAATGCTCGACCCTGCCATGACGCGACAACTGGCAGGAGCCCCGAGGGGGCGGCGTGGACGCACTCTGCACCGGCAGAGGCGGGCAAAGCACTCGCGAGGCACTCGGTCACAGCGACGCTGGGCTTGAAGAAAGCCTGTGAGAAGATCGCTCACGCAACTCTGTGGGCGATCGATTGCCGGCACAAGTTTCCAAAGAGGCAGCTTGCCATGCCCATCAAGACCTGCGCGGGCAGAAGGAGTCTCAAGTTTGGCAAGATAGCGCCAGTGCTCACTCGCACGAACCAAGGGGCCATGGCGGGGTGCTCGGACGCGACCGCCATGATGATTCTGTTCACTTTGGGCGCCTACGACCAGGTGCGCACGCTTTGGCCATCTCTCACGATCAGCGCGGTCGTGGACGACGGCGGCCTGCAAGCGTCGGGCACGGAGAAAGATGCAGTCCAATCATCATCGCGGCGGTCAAGCGTTTGCGCAGACCCCTGACCAAGCTCGGCCTGAAATTAAGGCCGAAGAAAGGACACGTCATTGCGACGACCCCGAGAATGGCAAAGGAAGTTAGAATGGCGTTGAGTGGTTGGGCCTTCCAACGAGCGCGAGTTGTCCGACAATTTAGACATGGCCGACGCATGGGAGGTGGGGCTCGAATACCCACTCATCGAAGTCAAGTTGCAGCTGTTGAGCGTAGAGTGGCACGCTTTCCGAGGTTGCCACAAGGCGGCAGACAGATGGGCAAGTTGTTTCGACCTGGTGACCTGGCTTGGATTGGCTACACAGCGAAGGTGCAGGGCATGAGTGACGCGCAGCTGCAGAATATTCGATCTCTATCAGGGTACGCGCAGTTTGGATCAGCTGGGGGGAAGAAGCAGAACGATGGAGCTTCTGTTATCACACTGTCCCAGGTTAGAGCCCACGTTCATCGCAGACGAATACCCGTTGGCGTATTGGCTCAAAGCGAAGTGGGAGCGGCAAATCAAGCCCAAGGCGATGGCCCTCGCATTCATGCGCGCGCAGAACCATACACGTTCGTGGCAGTCGGTGAAAGAAACAGCGGGAGCAGGACTCTTCGGCGGAGGGAATGGAGAGCTGAGCGTTGGAATATTTGGTTCACAGAGCGTGGCTCGAAAGTTGATTTGGACGACATCGGTGTTGGTGCGCTGAGGAAATTGATCAACATATCCACCAGGAAGCGTCTTCTGGAGGCGGTGCCAGGCAGTCGTGGGATTGAAGGGCTTACGGGGCCACCTATTCTGGAGCCGGCTGTAAAAGAGTTTGTTGAGCTTCGGAGACAGGGAGACTTCAAAGGTGCAGGATTACTTCGTACGTGGCTGGCTGGTGGTTTCTTCAATCAGGTGAGACAGCATGCAGTTCAGGCGATGGAGACACCAATACGTGCTATTTGTGGGGTTGAAAAAGGCACTGACTTGCACAGGTGCTTTCGTTGTGATTGGCACCTCGCTGAACGACAAGACTGGAGTGGATCTGAGAGGAAATTGATGATGTGGGGCGCAGCGAAGACGGACAGGATCACCCGTGCACGATGATGCTGTGCAAGGGACTCTTTCCAGATCCGCTTCTCTGGCTAACTAACAGGTGCACTGGAGCACCACACCATCAGATGGCATGTGTGCACAATGTCTGGTCTTATCAGTCGTGATGCGTGTTGATGGAAGCTGTATCGTCCCGATCTGCGATATCAGAGCTCGTGGCGATTGGGCTTTCTGTAAGCTTGATGCAGCTGGGAATGTTACAGCAGCGGCTTCTGGACCT